TACCTGAGTTTACCTTTCGAATCTCGTATTCTCTAATGTCGGATGGCATGTTTCCTACGAAAAGAGTTCTGGTTGCATCTGCATCGTCTTCTTTCAGCCTCCATTGTGGTGGCTCCTTTGGTCGAGCTCTACGTTCCGGGGAACGACGTCCATTTCGTTCTTGCTAAAGAATAATGTTCATGATGCACAAATGGTATCAAGCGGCGACGTAAGCAGTATGGGGCATCCAAAAATCGTACAATGGCGCGATCGCGCGCGACGCGCACACACTGCCGGCAACCACTTTATCTCGGTTTTCATCACTACTCGAAAGGTTTTCCCGCTTACATACGATAGTATTCGGACATCGGATAAGACTTAGTTTGAATGTGTGGTGATGTCTTCTTGTATGAGTGATTTCTGCTTTAAAGGGCGCAAAGACGCAGTCAAATCTATCGTTAACATTTTATGAATGATCTGTGCATACTTACTCACAAAGAGGTAATGATTCTAAGTCTAAAGCATTCATATCAGAAGTTTAAAGATATGCTGAGTGCGCATAAACCTTTTCGAAGAATAAAATTTTAAGGACTCTGAACAAGTAAGCCGCTGTGCACAAGTGATTCCATAGCAACCCACGCAGCAAGCAGAACAACTTTTGTAGGACATGTATCACAGAAAAGGAACTATACGCAACAAGGCGTGAGTAGCCAAACAGCGTCTAAAAAATTTTTGTGAACATACCTGCAGTGCTCGATTGAAACGATCGGGAATATATTTTCCCTCCTGATCACGAAGTATTCCAGCCGGGTCGCACAGTACGCGTTTACCGAGAGCTTTCTTCAGGCGATCCATGATACTGTACCTGAAAGACAAGGAACACTTCAGCTAACATTTCTGATCACCATGACCACTCAAAGTCAGCAACATCTAGACTGAAGTAATCCGTCATACGCATTAACCAGGGACCGTCCCATCGAATGCAAAACGAAATTTTGTAGCAAACCATACCTCACTTTTCTTGCACAATCCCTCCGCTCAAAGTTGACATATGCTAGCCTCTCATCATCACCGGGATTACGCACAACTTTGATCTGAATAAGAGTGCAATCAAATATATGATTACGCTGGTAGACCCACTATCAAATTAGAATATTTCCCTCATACAGAGGGTAAAAAAGCATGACATGCCTAGTGACAGATGGACAAAAAGTACGAAGATGAAAGTAATGATATTTGCATTGGAATAGTAGCAGTTGTCAGCTAACCATACATAGTGATCAAATGGCGGTCCCAGGCCATTCGGGGGAGGGTGGGGGGG